CGAGAAGTTAATCATGATTAGTGATTTAATCACGATTCAATACTTAAGTACGCTTCGTGAAACCGGCCCCTGGTATTTTTCAGGATTCAATTTGTAGAAACAGGGAGAACTAGCAACCCACAGAGACAAGGAAGGTCCTGCGCACTAAGAAATTCATGCAGAGCAAGAGCGAATCACACGCAATGAATTGCGGATACAACATGCACTCTTGCAGACTCAGTTACAGTGGCCCTTCTTTTCTTTCTGTAGTGAATACTTCTCCGGGAATGCATTTGCCCAGCCACCCTGTGCCCCAACCTTAAGATGATCACGACTTTCACATACGGGCCAGGCTACGGCAAACACAAATGAGATTTTGTGTCACGCTCGCAACATGTACTCTCGTTTGCAGTGACCCCATGCCCCAAGCTTATGTCATTCGGGTTAAGGCAAACAAGAAACCAATCAAGGGTTGTCACCGATAAACTCCCAGATGTCACCGGACGGCATTCTGAGAGGTAAAATGTGGTAATATGATTCCATTGAGCAGGATGACGAAAGGTGAATTTACATTGCACACATTTATGGTGGCACACGTTTCAGGTTACTACTCAACGCAAAGTCGGCGACCAAACCGGTAGGATGAGTAATGACAGTGATGATACGGATGATGAAACAGCGCCGGATGTCCGAGTGGCTTACCGGATGCGAAGGACCGTATGCTGTGCCTGCTCAATGATCTGCTCCAGCAGCGACTTCCTAATGTGAGACGAAAATTGTTGAAAATTTAGTTTCACACACACCCACACACACATGCACCCAGGCACACGCACACATACATGCACCCAGGCACGCGCACGCACACACACATGCATGCACCTAGGCATGCACGCGCGCACACACACACGCACCCAGGCATGCACGCACACAAGCCCGCACGCGCACGCAAGTAAGGTACACTGTTGAGGTTGTGGGCTGAGAATTATGGTTGGTGGACCAGCAATTAATATTAGAGGTTGTTCTTGGACAAGCTTCATGCAGGCGACAGATTCCGGTGACGTAGGCGAGACCATCATGTAACTGCTATTCCCACGCTAACGCACACGTACCCCTCCCCCATCCCTCATATACGCACCCCTCGCTATTTCCACGCTAACGCACACGTACCCCCCCTCCATCCCTCATACGCACCCCTCGCTATTTCCACGCTAACGCACACGTACCCCCCCACCCCATCTTATAGCATGCATTTCCACCGCAACGCACACAACCCCACCCCTATCCCTTATATACGCACCCCTCGCTAGTTCCACGCTAACGCACACTAAACCCCCCCGTCCCCGCAATCCCTCATAGCGCACCCCTCGCGTATTTCCGACGTAACGCACACGTACCCCGCCCCCATCCCTCATACGCACCGCCTCGCTATTTCCACGCTAACGCGCACGTACCCCCCCCCCCCACCCCATCCCTCATATACGCACCCTCGTATTTCCACGTAATGCACACAACCTCCACCCCCATCTTATATACGCCACCCCTCGCTATTTCACGCTAACCCACACGTAACCCCCCCTCCCCCATCCCTCCTATACGCAGCCCGCTCTGCGTGTATTTCCACCGCTAACGCACACGTACCCCCCCCCCCATCTCTCATATAACACACCCCTCGCCTATTTCCACTTTGCTAACGCCACACGTAACCCCCCCCTCCCCCAATCCCTCAGTATACGCCACCCCTCGCTATATTCCACGGCAACGCACGACGTACCCCCACCTCCCCCATCCCTCATATACGCACCCCTCGCCTATTCCACTTCGCTACATGCACACGTAACTTCCCCCCCCCCCCCCCCTTATACGCACCCCTTGCTATGTTCACGCTAACGCACACGTACCCCCCCTCCATCCCTTATATACGCACCCCTCGCCATTTCCACGCTAACGCACACGAACACCCCCCCCCCCCCCCCCTTATACGCACCCCTTGCTATGTTCACGCTAACGCACACGTACCCCCCCCCCATCCCTTATATACGCACCCCTCGCTATTTCCACGCTAACGCACACGAACACCCCCCCCCCATCCCTCATATACGCACCCCTCGCTATTTCCACGCTAACGCACACGTACCCCCCCCCCATCCCTTATATACGCACCCCTCGCCATTTCCACGCTAACGCACACGAACACCCCCCCCCCATCCCTCATATACGCACCCCTTGCTATGTTCACGCTAACGCACACGTACCCCCCCTCCATCCCTTATATACGCACCCCTCGATGAGTTGCAGGAGGCTCGCGCGGCTAAATGCGTGCGGACCCGCCAGGCGGCGCCGCTTCGACGCTCCAAGCATCGCCGTCGACGGGTGCGGCATCGGCAGGCTGATGTTTGCCGTGTGCATCTCGCGCAGCAGCTGATGCAGCGAGTGCTCGAGGATGTGGTTGTGCTCTGACTTCTGCCGCTGCTGCTGCTGTTGCTGCTGCTGGGGCTCCGTGCTGCGGTCCTGATCGTTGCTGTGGCACAGCCCGATGAATAGCTGGATGCCGGGGAACAGCTACGGAGCACAGCGGGGGAGATGTAAATCGCGACGGTGAACACAGGTCGTCGGAGGCAGCAACGCAGATGATCGTTGTCGGGAGCGCAACAAATAGCTGTGACGGTGCGAGTCTAAAACGTAATGACTTCTCAAGTAAAGCGTTGTGCAGAAAATTGCCGCAACTATTTATGATGTTTCTGACAACGGGCGCCCGGTGGCGTTACAAGAGCATGACGAAATGAAAGCACGCAGGTGCAGGCATGACGCTGCGCAAGTTCACCGCAGAGCAATAAGCTTAAAACCGCGTCCATGCCATTTTCAGTTTGGTAATAACGAATAAGAATAATTAGTAATTATTTGGCAATTTGTAGATTAGTGCAACACCTGCTCGCATGTCGTTTCATGAAATGAGAGGGCCAAATGCTGACAGCTGCTGAGAGAATGGCTACTTTTGACTTACAGTGGCAGTTATCTGGTTGCCGATCACCATGTGTGGAATTGGTGGTTTCAGTTGCACTGCTTCTCTTGCAAGCTAAAACGGGCAACAAATATTCATACATCACATACACATACACGTAAATATGAAAACAGTCGAGTGAAATTGAGTTTGATCGAGTTTTGTGGTATCACACACAGGGTAGAGTAATCAAGCAGTGGGGAGGTGATGCAAGATTTAGTTTTTACCAGGTGCTACAAAACCCAACAAGAGAATCTTCTATATATCTGTGATGTATTCTGAATGAATATATGTATATAGATATAAGGGTGAATGTGTGTGAATGTGTATGTATGGGTGTGGGTTTAAATACGACAGTGAACGTATGCGTGCGAGTATATATGTGTTGAAATGATTTTAAAGTGTACCAAAGTTACTTTACTTGTACATACAGAAAGTATTGTCGTTTTTTAATTATATTTTTTATTTATGCTGTATAGAACTGTTTTGTACTGCATTACTCAGATATGTTATTATTTTAACTGCTCAACACCATTGCATCTATCAGATTTGTTTTCCATGAAAAAGACTGTCTTTAGTTCGTGTATTTGTATTTGAATTACATGCAATAAAGACTTAATAATAATAATAATAATATCGTGCTGACATTTGGTCTAAGTTATGTTACAGCTAATCATATGTTTACAACGAAATTTCACCAACTTGCATTCATATTGAATTATCAATACCATGACAGTATTGTAAATCACAGTAAAATTAAACGTGTACTATGTTACTATACTTAGCACAACTCAGAAGTGATATCAGCAGAATATATTGCCATTTCCTTGTTGGGTGCATTGTTGTGAATTTAAAGAGACAGGCTTACCTGGGAAAATAGCTCCTTACAGAAGAGGACATTCTGTGCAGCTTCCAGCTTCTTTTGCCAATGCGTTTCACCAGCTAATGGGTCCGTGGGGTGGCTGGGAATGGTCAGATTTGCAGATGCCAAGCTGTCAGTATCTGAAGCACAAGAATCAACAGCTGACATTGTAGCGCATGTGAAGGTGCATACATTATGCTCACACCCTGCGGGCCTGCTGTGACAATCGGGAAGAAAAATATTATTGGTTTACACAGTTATAGGAGGAGAAGGGAATTTACAGAGGGAGGTTTTCATTTAAATTTGGTTAACCAGTACCACAGCCACCTTACAGCAGGATACCCATAATTAAACATGCATGTACATTAACATCTCAAGTCCATGCACTTTGTTATGCAATACGAGGCTGAGCTTTACTATTCAGCTGTATTGCTACCCAATATTAGGTCAGACTGTCACAGGAACAAAGCCTGCAAAAACTCAGATGGAGTGACCATCTACCAAGGCAGCTTCACAACTGACATCTAGTTGTACCAAGTTCGATAATTACTAATTAGATCTACTACCATCTTTGCCAACTCATGCAGTAAGGCAAGTTCTGCACTAAGCCCTGCAACAACTGTACCTTGGCATGACACTGGATTATCGACTTTAATATTATTAATAAAACAATGCACATTATCGGCCGATGGGCTGAGCCCATTCCACAGAGCTAGGATGGTAAGCCATGAGACAATAAACGATCGTGCACATTTGTGCAGTGCATTGGATAGTACTGTCGTGGGGCATATTGCAGACATAGCGGCACTGCCACCCTGGCTGTGCACTCGCATGCATGCCGTACCTTTCTGGATGGATACATAGATGTAGCTCGCGCCCTGCAGGTGGCTGGGTATCGCAACGTGCAGTGAGGATCTCCGCCCGGCATGCTGCTGGCCTGCGCTGCCAGGTGTCGTGTCGTGACCCCCGGCGCCCTCTTCCATCTCTTTGTTCTCGAGCACCTCAAATGTACCATTCTGGCGGAAGCGGGAACCGGCTGAAACAGGGTTTTCTTTGGAATTGCTGAGGAATGACGGACGTTCGTGGAAATGAAACCAGCATAATGTCTGTAAGGCTAAGTTTCCTGTTGTTTACTATTCTAGATTTTGCCTGATGTGCAATGAAAGTTTCAAGTGCTATGCTGACATGGAGATATTATAGAAGAAACCACTGTGTAACGATTGGATTACATACACTGTTGAACAAAAGTGTAAATAAAGTCATACTTAATAAAGTTGGATCAATATCTGTAGTCGCATCACTTTTTCCTATTATTTAGAACTATAGTAATAACATTAATACATGATATATTTATATTATTTGCTTATGATAGGTGAAAAAGAGTAACATAATCGATCTTTGGCTACCATTTTCCTTGATTTAACGACTGCTTGGACATGTATACGGGTGACAGCTTACCAGACTTGTAGCTGAGGTCACCCAGAATGGAGTTAGCTACTTTCTTCAGCCTCCAGTTTCGTCTTACGTTAAGCAGTTCCATCTGGAACGCGGGCGCAGAACTGTGATAGAGGTTGTCCGACTTGCGCAGACGCTCCGAACCATGCTGAAGAATCTGAGCGGCATTGTTTAGGGCCTATGAGGGAAAAAAGAGCAAGTAGCTATTATTCGCTACATGTACAGTTTACAGCTCATTCGGATAACTGCTTATACATGCAATCAATCAATCATGTAAAGCAGATATCATCATAGTATCAGGAGTGTATAGAAATAAATTTCTGGCTGTTTCTTGACAAATTGGTTTTTTACTATCTCCTGATAGCATCTTGCATCTGACGCCCTCTATCAGTCATCAACCATGACTGACTATTACTGATCAAAGTTGCAGATATCGTACTCTTGTACACTATTGGTGACTACAAGACTAGCTGCGCTTATAGAACAGGGACGACATATAGCAACTGTAATACCGAGCGACGAGGTCGTAGTGCCGACGATTTCCGCAGACATTACCTTTTTCTTGCCCAGAACCTGCGTGAACATGCGAGACTCGGGTGGCTCCTGCTGTATCGGGTCGAGCAACATATATCGCTTCTCCTTGGCAATGTTGAGCACGTCGAGCAGTACGCTTGCCTCCGTCAGCGAATGCCTACATTATTACACATCTCACGTTTATTTAAACGAGAAGATTAAAATTTACACATTTCCACAAGTTTCCGGGACATGCAGATCTGCTGACAGATATGTAAAAATAAATAAGCATGACAATCTATACATGGTGTAATAGTTTTGAAACTATATGAAATTTCCCCATTGAATGGTCAGTAGAACTAGAAAACATTTTCAATCACTTCTTCACTCAGTATTCTTCTGCTATATTGTCTAACCTTGCTGAAGGCACTGCTTAGTGCCAGCAAGCATGTAAACCAGGAGGTATAAATAGGTGTTATACACCTTGTCAATCATTTTACCACAAATGATAAAAAAGAAATTTTCCAAAAAATTTAGTTTGGATATTACATGGAAGTAAACAGCTTTTTTCTGCAGCAATTTCAACCTCCTGTGGGATGTGAAGTTGGTTTTAAATAAAAACTCTGCCATGAGTGTAATTACCTTAGTTTTGTATGCACAGAATCCCAGGGCCAGGTTTCCTGCTTGAAAGCAGACTTGGCCTCATCATCGCCTTCTTCTGTTTCGTTGGCTGCAACACTTTTCAACTCTTTCCCTTCTTCTTCCATCTTGGTGAAATCAATTCGTTGTGCCAATTTTGTGAGGCTTTCTGACATCGATATTGGCCTGTTTAATAAAGGAGAATATTTAGCTATAGCTGCAGGAGTTATTGACTTGCATTAGGTCAGTTTATCTACCTCCTCGCTACATAACGGCAGACATACAAAGTTTGTAAACTCGAGACTGTTGAATGTTACATAAGCTTACCATTGATTTCAAGGCCCTGTGCTAACGATAGCCAAAAGCATATTGTTTTAGCTGGGTAGCCTTGCATGATAAATACCCCAGACCAAACTGAACTTCCCTGAACACAAAAAATGTTTTGTTCGACAAACACTATTGAAATCCAGACAGCTAAGCAGTCATTTCATTCCAATACGTTTACAATAAGAAACGATTCTCAATATTTTTGCTGTTACTGTTATACTTATAGAGCTCTAACCTTATCATGTCATTGGAAAAATAGTTTCTAATTTCCTCAAAAGATGCCAAACGTTACTAGGGCTACGCTGGCATTCGCCACCTCCGCAAAATGCGATAAATAACTACCAGTTGGCGATTTTACTTTACTAAGTGGCAAATACAATTGGCGAATCATTTAACGGCTCACAAAATTACAATTGAATAATGAAATTGTCCTTGTAAAATGTTTTTGTACGCCTCTACCCATCACCTGTTTATGCCTTGCTTAGCATACATGTACAATAAAGTGAACAGTGACTATAGTGTTACGCAGTGGCTCATGCTCCGGTAACCTGAGCGGGAGTTCTTTTGGCTCGTGCTCTGGCAATCCCAGAATGCATTGCAAAGTCATCAAGTGAGCATTTCTCAGCGGAACGCAGAAAATGGCGGCATATTTTGGTTTGATGGAATATCAAAATGCAACATTTGTTCAATATTATCATAAAGATTCACGGACCATTAATGCTGATAAAAAAAGAGTACCGAAACGAGTGGAAAATGCAAACGAAAATTTGAAGTATTACACTGTGAACTGTGTTTTCGGAGGAAAACGGTTCATTGCAACAAGCACAGGGACGAGACCAGATTGCATACAACTTTTGTCAAGGTTCGTGTGCAGCCATTTTCTGCGTTCTGCTGAGAAATGCTCACTTGCTGACTTTGCAATGCATTCTGGGATTGCCAGAACACGAGCCTAAAGAACTCCCGCTCTGGTTACCGGAGCACGAGCTACTGCGTAGTTTTTATTGGTGGATAAAAAACAACTTTGGTGGTGCAAGTCTTGGATCAAACTTTAAAACATCAAGAGAGAGCCCTGCGTTATAATTGGTTAATGTTGATACAGTGAGTATTTACCTCGTTATTCTTAGACTTTTCTCTTGTGGGAGCAACTGCATTTAGAGTATGTCAATGTACTATTCTCACTACTAAACCATTAGGAAAACAGATCTAACGATTCCTGATCATGCTGAAAGAACTGACAGGTGCAGATCAAGGATATACGAGCTGTCCCCAATTCATTTTCGCAATGCGCGATATGCGCAAATGAAGTGTGGACAGCTCTAGTCAGTAGTCGTATATATATATCATTGGACCGGTATGTGTTTTATTTGTATAGAAACGTTCATGCCTAGACCGAATAATTCTGTCCCATATAACCTTTTTTATATTTTGGTGAGGGTTATATTGGGACAGAACGGGGTTCATTGAAATTTCGTGAGATCGCATGCAAAATGCATGCGCTGCGAATGCGGCCCGTACGCCGCTATTGGCACGAAAAAAAACTACCGTTCCCTTCTACATGGCTTTACCTTGCTACTGATATGTGTATACATTCACTTCAATCGTTATTTACTTCTTAAACGATTGTTTTTCACAAACGCCGCTTCGTTCAAACTTTCTTAAATTACATCGCCATTTACAAACAATCAGACCAATCAGAGCGAGTCTATCAGCCCTCCTGCAGCGCCATGCACAGATACAAGCGGAGAACTTATGCGATGAACCAGCGGGCTATGTAAGACTCGCTCTGATTGGTCCGAATTGTTTGTAAATGGCCTACGAATTTTACTAACAAGTTAAGAAGCGGTTTATGAAAACAATCTTTTAAGAAGTGAAATAACGATTGAAGTGAATGTATACACATTAATCAGGTAGCAACGTAAAGCCATGTAAGAAGGGAAACGAGTGTGTTTTCCCGTCCACATAGGCGCGACGGCCGCCACTTCCGCAGCCGCATGCATTTGCATGCCACATCTCACGATAATTCAATGACCCCGTGTCTTGCTCCCATTATAACCCTCACCAACATATATAAAAAGGTCTATTATGGGACACGAAGTCTAGAATTATTCTTATCTTCATGCCACAAATCCAGTCACGTTTAAAAATTTACCTAAATGATAAGTTTAGTATTAAGTTGTCAACCCAATAGTGATATTAGAATAGATGGGTAGAGAATTACGAAAGAGGTAGGTTGATAGATTAAATAGGTGATAAATATACACAGTGGCTATCATGCCGGCAGCCGCGCGTTATATCTGGACGGTCTGCGGGCACGGTCGATTTCCTAAATGCCCGCATTTTTTAATTTTTTTAGCGTTTATCTCAAGTAAGACAAGGTTAGCGCCGAATCGAGAATGAAAAAAATCGTTTACCCGTCCACCGCCCGCATGTCCTTTAGTCCCCGCCCAAAAAAGCATTATTTACCAAAATTTCTATCTTATTGGAAAAAAAATTCCCTCACTGATAACATCAATTAGACTAATGCAACAAGGTGTTAACTACCTAAACACAATGCTCAAGGATTTTGACAAGCTTGGGGCAGTTCCGGATCTGTACATAGCCACTTTCTACCGCTCAGACATACTATCAGAGGCCCGGGTAATAAAGATTTGATCAAAAAAACGCCAACCCGAAGCATGACGACTTCAAACCGAAAATTCGCCGCAACGTGGAAATCTGATAAAAATTTTATCGCCTGCAAAAAAAGAACAATACATGAATAAGAAAGAGGGCGCTAAATTTTTATGTCTGACTGTTTATTTCACGTGATTTCAGCCTGAAAAATTAAATAATGAATAATGATAATGTAAAAAAAGCCCTCATCACTTTTAATAGTTCTTGACCGTAAACCGCGCATTTTTCAATCTCATGCGCCTTAGGGCTTAGAGTTAGATTAGTTTAGGTTAGGGTTAGTTTAGGTAGAGTTATGGGCTTTTGTGTAGCGTTTAGGTGAGCGGTTAGATTAGGGCTTAAGACTTGCCGGATTTTAGAAAACGAAGACCGTGCCCGGCTGCCGAGGCATATATGCCACCAGGCCGTAAATAATAACTGACTGAATCGCACGTAATCGTAAGCACTGTTAAGGGCTTTGAACGTCAAACATAAACAATCAACGTGTGGGCTATATGCCGGCAGGCCGGACGGTCTTCGTTTTTTCCTAAAGTCTGATGCTCCTCGACGTACGTCGCCGCGATAGTTTTTCTCTTCAACTCACGTATGTGATGCCAGCGCCTATCTATCGAGCGAATAATAGACTACCGTTGCTTTGGTACGCATACTCTATATATACGATTTTATCACGATATATACTTTAACCCTAACCTAACACCCTTAAACCACCCTAACTCCTAACCCTAACCTACCCTAACCCTAACTCCTAACTCCTATTTAAACATTTAATAAAATAATTTTTAATTGTTTGAAAAATTAATTGTTTGTTATTAAAATTGTTCTAAATAAATAATGTTTGAATATTTGCGTTTAATGGGAAAAAATGGTTAAACAGATAAAGACTAGAAAAAATACAGAAACAAGGAAAATAAGTAGAAAACGGATGGCGATTCAATCCCGCCGGACCATCTATACTTAGGGCAAGCGCTTCTACCCGTTGCGCTGCTGCCACATATTGAAATTAAATTTTTGGGTGCTATGTTATCGCCCAAGAAGACAGCTCAACCAATCAAGGCGAGTCAGTCACCCGTCTTGGAGTTTTACGTGACTTTAGAGAAAAATAATCGGCGACTCAGTACACGTCGCAGGAGCAACAGCCTATCCTAAAATGCCCGCAGTTCTAACCTAACTCTAACCCTAACCCTAAAACCTAACACAAAACCCTAACTCTAGCGCCTAACCAACCCTAAACCCTAACCCTAACTCCTAACTCTAACTCTAACCCTTGTTTACTTGAGATTAACGCTAAAAATTAAAAACTGCCGCGGCATTAGGAATCGAAGGACCCGTGCCGGCAGGCGTCAGATATCACGCCGCTCCGGCATATAGCGCACTGTGTAACAACAACACAACAACTAGTTGAGTATTTCAATAAATCGAACATACTGTACGTAAATTTCATGTCCATCAAGAGATATTTCCTGTATCTGATTTTCGGCCAATGCTTCAAGAGAAACATCCACCGACGTTGCCATTTTCGCATTCATCTTTAAATACGTCAGATCGACGACGAAAATCCAACTGAAAGGGCAATTTTAAGACACTTACAAACGACAACCTAGCTAACAACACCGCTCAACACGCAACGATATGGCCACATACGGGACCTCCTAAACATCGAAATGGAAAGATCGACCAATAAAATTGACCCCAGCGAACGACACTAGCGCCTCTGCTGAGTCTAGGCAAAATCAGAGCGAATCAATGATATATATATAAATAAAGATAATATAAATAATATAAATATAAATAATGATTTTTATGCTCTGGCAAATAGCTCGGAAATAGCCGGCGATAATATAATAATATTCTTTTTGAAATCATTCTCGTATTTTTAATAGAGCAACTATTTTAATGTAATCATGCAATATCAGCGCTATCATCCCACGTTCTGTTTGTATAGAAATATATATTCTTGTACTGAAATACGGATATAGGTATATATATTATATATATATATATATCAATATATACAATAATATATATATATATATTGTATATGTATGTGTATGTGCATATATATAGGGCCCACCAGCGGTGAATAATGACAATAACCGTTGCCAATCATTCACCCGGAATGAGGCCCTCTACTTAATTATAATAAGTAGGGCGCCATACTATAACAAAATCAAGCATCTAATAAACACCTTTTAATAGTGTTATTACGCTCTGATGAAATGTATATTATGTAAAACATTCATATAATACGCACGCACCACACTCAGCATTTGCGCGCACGCACCCACATCACACACACACACACACACACACACACACACACACACACACACACACACACACACCACACACACACACCACACAAACACACACACACACACACACACACACACACACACACACACAACACCACACACACACACACACACGCGCGCGCGCGCACGCACGCACGCACGCGTGTGTGTGTGCTTTTTTTTTGTATTTTCGACACATGTCGTTCTATGGCTGTGATTGGCAATTTATAAAGAGTTGTAGAACAACGTCGCTGGAAATTAGAAACGATTCTAAATATTCGTATGCGTATGCAACAGCTCATTGGAAACAATAATACTACTTTCTAATTTTCTAAAATGTCATTAGACGCTCGCTACGTACGGTTGATCGTTGTCACTGCAGCGTGTCTTGATCTTACTTGTGTTTTTGTGTTACAGGCTATTTGATATTCTTAGTAGCAACGTCCCCATCAATCACTCTCAGCAAGAGATACAAGGAACCACTTCGCACTAGCACCATAAATATTTGTAGACCATACTAAAAAAAATAAAAATTTGTGGTTACATTTCTGGTTAAATATTCTTCTTTCCTAGTTACTGATTGGTGCATTGTTACAGATATCGCCACGCCTTCAGGCATTTCTCAACCGGATGCACTTCGCGACCCAACTCAGCAAAGCACGGCATTCGAATTTCTGCAGCAGCCATTCATGAAGCAGGCAGGTCCCTGGTACCTCTCATGAGCAGCTGTCATCACAGTCCTTGTTAAGTGGCAGACACCGAGCTTTGGCTTGCTTGGATTCCTAACAGGGGCCATCCATCCATCTATCCATCCATCCATCTATCCATGCATCTATCTCACGTCCCTCTCTCCTCTTTCCTCATTGCACGCACGCACGCACGCACGCACGCACGCACGCACGCACGCACTCACACACACTTCATGTATTCATTGACTTTTCTGCATTGACTCTATTAACACTATTTTGTATGTGTATTTTATTTTCTTGTATATGTATCATCGCCTCCCCGTACCGACACACCTAGCTTCTGGTCTCCCTGTGGGTTGCTGCTGCCCTCCTGTGTGCTCTGCTGGGTGGAATTATTATTTTCATGAATACATAAAACACAGGGCCGTAGCTAGTGGGGGGGGGGCAAGGCGGCATTTGCCTCCCAGACCATTGTAGATATTATCAGAAGTGAATAATAATAGTCTATATTTAATTGACTATTAGTAATATAATAATTAATTGACGCATTAAATAATAATAGAATTATTAATTAATTGACTATTATTAATATAATAGTCTATATTTTATTGATATTATTACATAGGCAATCGCGAATTGCCACGGCCAACTGCCTAGAACGCAAACCTCACGTTGCTTTGCCCCCTCCCGCCCGATGACTGTTGCCTGGCTGGATGCATTTTGCATGGGAATCTATTGCCTATTGTAATGCAGGGGAAAATAGCTTTGAGTGTATACATGCATGCATCTTGACATAATGTATAAAGCATGATTTTTCGTCTCTACTACTATACTTTTTACAATACTCATGCACTGAGTTTTTCCTGCGTCAAAGAATATAATGTATAAGGATGTCATGCCATTTACTAGAGGAATGTTATTTAGTAGTCTGTCTTCAAATAACTCTACGATGCACGTAGATATGCGTAATAATAACCACGATAAAAATAGAATACAGGGTTTAGGCGATTTATTTAGGAATTAACATGCAACTGGAGTGACGTCTATTATATAAGCAACGATAATGTGACGTAATGTCATGCCGCGCCTGAATACCCTGCATACAGCTTCCGCGTCGTAATGTCATGCCGCGCCTGAATACCCTGCAGCTTCCGCGTCGTAATGTCATGCCGCGCCTGAATACCCTGCATACAGCTTCCGCGTCGTAATGTCATGCCGCGCCTGAATACCCTGCATACAGCTTCCGCGTCGTAATGTGATGAGCGCGCCGACGTCGGGGTACGTCCCATCAGTCCCATCACGCCCGCACGTAGCAGACACCGTTCGACGGGAGAAGAACCAATAAATACATCATAACATAGTTTGATAATCGGTAATATTTTATAATGATGATAATTAATACTGGATAGGCGAGTGCGTGTTTACGCGTGTGCGCACAATCATCACACATATAGTCACGATACAATTATACACATTCTTGCCTTCCTGTTATGGAACATTCCGCAGGCACATGGCCGTTTCAATAATAAAATGATAGAAAATTAATAAGAATATCACGTTTACTACTTAGTTTTAACGTTTATAAATTTACAAAAGATAGAGAACTGTATGACAAATTTGGTAGTCCCATTCTGTTGATAACAGAAAGGCCATATGCAACTTGTCTGACGTAAAACATACACGTGTATTAAAAATTTCTCTACTCCAGTGAATTCGCTCAAGCGACCGCCCTTAGTTGAAAATCTAGTTTCTGTCATGGTACTCTTGATGTCATATATATACTAATGCGGAAATACTTTCGCAGCAAAAGCCACAGAGTCTTTAATTGATTCACTTTAATCCCCCTGATTTTCTAGACATTCCTATCTCCTCTCCTTTCAAATCTATCCTACCAGCACGCTCCGTTCCTCTTCTCTACGCTACATTCTGTATCTCCTCTCCTTCCAAAGTTCTCCCACCAGCACGGCGGTTGCTTCTTCTTTTCTCTACGTCCTGTATCTCCTCTCCTTCCAAAGTTCTCCCACCAGCACGGCGGTTGCTTCTTCTTCTTTTCTCTACGTCCTGTATTTCCGCTCCTTCCAAAGATCTCCCACCAGCACGGCGGTTGCTTCTTCTTCTTTTCTCTACATCCTGTATCTCCTCTCCTTCCAAAGTTCTCCCACCAGCACGGCGGTTGCTTCTTCTTCCTTTCTCTACATCCTGTATCTCCTCTCCTTTGCAATCTTCATTGGCTGTGTCTTCTTCTCCTTCTTCTTCGTCGTCTTCTACATTGTCATTTTCGCTTATTTCATTATCTTTATTTTCATTTTCATTTTCATCCTTATCTATGCGTAGGACTTGGAAAGTTTTACTTATGTCTTGCTTGCTATGCTCATCAACTGGTTGCTTGTGGGGTTCGATGTCATCGAGGGCATGTTTTGCTTCTTCAGCAGAGGGTGATGGATAAGCAAGGATTTCTCCGACCTGTAACGAACCAATCCGTCACAAAAATACGGACTCACGATGGACGTAAGCGGACACACACACACACACACACACACACACACACACACACACACACACACACACACACACACACACACACACACACACACACACACACACACACACACACACACACACACGACACGACGACGACGACACGACG